AAAATAAAAAATACAAAAATTTAAAAAATATTTTTAAAAAATTAGAAATTTTAATTAAACATGCCATATTTTACGTACCGTATTTAACGTCCGGCACGGTTATAGAACTTTCCGCAATGTTTGTCGCCAGTATTACTTTACGAAAACCAACTGGTGGGTGATTAAATACTTTGCTCTGCTCATCCGGCGAGATTAATGAATGCAGCCGTATAGGAAAGAGTTTTACATTATTACTGGAATTATATATAGCAAGTTGTTTAATTTTTTAAATTAACACATATGCACAGCACATACTCAACAGATTCGCTTAACGTTTCCAATTTGTGGCACATTTGATCAATTTCATTGATACCAGGTAGAAATATCAGTATCGAGGTTTGTGGCAGTGAGCTAGGATCCATGGAAACAGAAGCTTCCTGCTTCTCTATATTATCTATGACAATAATCAGTTTATAGGCAATATTATACATTTCTTTCGATATGCCAGGATCGGATACGTCCACATCGGTGTTCTATAAACAAAATATGGAAAAACAACAATTAATAAATAATAGACTAATTTATGCAACGTATACGTGAACATTTACCGTACTATTGATGCGACCCAGATCGGATAAATAGAATTCGCGCACCTGATAAAGGCGACGTGAATCAACGCGCAGCACTGGCGCCGGATTGCGACGTATGGTAAAGTAATCAGAGAACTAAAATTAACATAAAATCATTATTCTATTCCCAATATATATACAATACAATGTACTATAGTATACCAACCTCTCCAGCATTGATTGTGGCTGACATGAGTACAATTTTAACACCGCGTGAATTTGTTGTCAACAGTTTTCTTATAACTATCAGTAAAAAATCCATTTCCTGGTCACGTTCGTGCACCTCGTCAAGAACAATATGTGTAAATTGTCTAAGTGACTTCTCCTTTATAAGTTTTTGCAACAGTACACCAGTTGTGCAGTACAGCAAGCGTGTATCTTCGGAAACTTTCGCATGCAAGCCAACCTAGGCAAATATGTATATAGAAAATATTTCAAATTTCTTTTTACTTAATACTATCAAAAATTGAATCCTTTCGAAGGCAAGCTGGCGACAGCTTTTTCAAAAAAGTTGTTAATTTAGTCGCAAACATCCATTTTACCTGAAACCCAACAACGGAGCCTTCTTCCCATTTTCTCTCCTGGCAAACACGCCTAGCAATAGATATTGCTGCAATCCTACGTGGTTGTGTGCAGACAATTTTGCAGTACTCCCGATTGGCATAGGATTCGTCGAGTATATACTGAGGCACCTGAAATAAAAAAATATATTATTAAAAAATATTTATATATAATATTAAAGTTATTAAATATTGGAGAGGCGAAAAAGTCTTTTCGTACTACTAATCAAATTTTAACTTATTATATATAT